CATTATATATATACTCATATATATATATGGTAAATATATATTTATATATATATATATATACATTTATAAAACATTTTTTATATATATTCTTTTTATATATAAAATATTTATTTTTCCATTATATATATAAGAAAAATATATATATATATATATATCTACTTTTTATATAGCCATAATAATATATCATTTATAAATTAATATTATATATATTCAAAGAATAAATATATATAATTATATATATATGGTGGATATATATATAGATTTATATATATATATATTAAAAATATATATATTTCATTATATATGTATATTATTATTAGAACTCCAGGGGATATTTATATTCTCCAAATTGCAGCAGTAGTAGTGTATTTTTTTTTTGTATATATATTGGGTTTTCTTTTTTGTTTGTTTTGTTTTTCCATTGTTTTTTTGTTTATATATATCAAGTATATATATATCATGGTGTATATATAACTATTTCCCACAATACGTTTTCAGCATTATATATACATTACATATATATCCATTTCATATATACATGAAATACAATATATATACATATATATATTGGGTTTTATATATTATTATATTATATTTATATATTTATATATTATTATGAATATATATATTATTATATATATAGGTTTGATATATTGACATTATATATATATAATACATAACATTATATTTTTGTCATAGATATCAATTCTCAAAATAAAAGAGGCATTTTCTATATATATTTTATTTATAGAATATGCATATTCGGATTATATATATCATTCAATGCATACTATATAACATATATATATATATCAAAAAATATGATATATATATATACATTATATATATTTTACATTATATATATTATAACAAATATTTATAGTTTAGTATTTAATTATATATTATATATATATATATCCATTATTGTCATATATATTATATACATTTATATATATATATATTCATTTATATATTTATATATTGTTATATATATAATCTCATTATATATAAATCAGTGGACAATATCCGCAAATAAATTCGTTTATATATAAATATAAAACAATATAATATATGTATAACTTTTATATTAATTAAATTACAAGAATTATAATATTGATATTTTAGGTATCCGAGTTTTTTGGCAAGTTTATTCTTTTTTTGTTTCAAAATTTTTAAAGGTTTTTTTTGATTAGTTTTCTGAATATCCGTTATATATAAATATATATATAATATGGTTGTTAATTAAGAAAAAATAAGAAAAAAACGTTCGAATGAAAGTATATATATATATATGCACAGATATATTTCTCATATATATATAAAGATATAAAAAAAATGGATTATATATATATTATAAATACATTAAATTTTGAAAAATGACAATTTATTTTGAAAAACAAGAGGAATATACAGAAAAATATATACTATTAAATTTTATGTTATCAAAAAGAATAATTATATAATATTAATATATATATATTAATGAGTCTGTAGCCCTCATTATATCTAAGATCTATCTATAAATCTAATATCTATAATATATATATATATATATTATAGGGAATATATATATAAATAAAATTATTTTCATCTTTGAATATTTTGTATGAAATAAATAATTACATTATATTTATTTTGTTCATATATATAACATTATATAATTTCTTTTTAATATGAAGTATTAAATGGGAATCAAAAGTATAAATTGATGATTTAAATAAAATAATGGAAATAAAAAAAATTATTTATAAAATAAATTGTGGAAGAAAAGATATTTTTCAAATTAAATCAATGTTTATGAGAAAGTTTGATAAGAAAAAATAATATACACCAAGGTTTGGAAGTGGAAAAAACCCCATAACCATGGAGATCAAGTGAAAGCAAAGAAAAAATTTCATACACAACAGTTATTTGAAGGACAAGTATTAAGAATTAAAACACTTAAGAAAGAAAGAAAACGATTATCGTTTTCAAAGAAAATCCAACAATGGCTGAAATCAACATAACAAAATAAAGAAAGAAAGAAAAAACAATACGATATATATTAATTTATATGATAGGACAAATTAAAAAAGAAAAAATAGAAAGATTTTAAGAATTATTGAAAATAAAATTATATATATATTTTGATTGAGTATTTTATAGGACAAATCTAAGAATAGCAAATTATCCAAAGAAAGAAAGAAAGAATGGGTCACCATTTCATTTAAATTAAAAGGACAAATTTGAAAAGAATGATGAACGATTAAAAAAAGAAATAAAAAACTATTTGGAAGATATATATATAAAAAATAAATCAATACAGTATAATATAAATAAATAGAAGAAATAAGAATGAAGAAAATGGATATTCTTGTTATATAAGGACAAATCTATAGAATAGAAAGAAAGATATATAGAAAGAAATATTTTTATCGAAACTTTTTTTGAAGGACCGGCAAAGAAATAGAACCGAAATTTGAAAGATAAGAATGAAAATTACCATATTTGAAGGACAAATCTAAGAATAGAAAGAAAGAGAAAGAAAGAAAGAAAATGAATGGATTTCAACTGAGTGTTGGAAGGACAAATCTAAGAAATGGAAAGAAAAAGAAAATGAAAAGAAAAAAATGGAAATCACCAAGAAGTGTTGGAAGGACAAATTTAAGAATAGAAAGAAAAGAAAGAAAAGAATGGAAGAACCAATGTTGGAAGGACAAATAAGAAGAGAAAAAAGAAAGAATGGAAGAATGTTCTGACAAATCTAAGAATAGAAAGAAAAATGAATGATCACCTTATTTGGAAGGACAAATCTAAGAATAGAAAGAAAGAAAGAAAGAAAGAAAGAAAGAAAGAAAGAAAGAAAGAAAGAATGGATCACCAAGTGTTGGAAGGACAAATCTAAGAATAGAAAGAAAAAGAAAGAAAGAAAGAATGGATCACCAAGTGTTGGAAGGACAAATCTAAGAATAGAAAGAAAGAAAGAAAGAAAGAATGGATCACCAAGTGTTTGAAGGACAAATCTAAGAATAGAAAGAAAGAAAGAAAGAATGGATCACCAAGTGTTGGAAGGACAAATCTAAGAATAGAAAGAAAGAAAGAAAGAAAGAAAAAGAATGGATCACCAAGTGTTGGAAGGACAAATCTAAGAATAAAAAGAAAGAAAGAAAGAAAGAAAGAAAGAAAGAAAGAATGGATCACCAAGTGTTGGAAGGACAAATCTAAGAATAGAAAGAAAGAAAGAAAGAAAGAAAGAAAGAATGGATCACCAAGTGTTGGAAGGACAAATCTAAGAATAGAAAGAAAGAAAGAAAGAAAGAAAGGATCACCAAGTGTTGGAAGGACAAATCTAAGAATAGAGAAAGAAAAGAAAGAATGGAAAAAAAGTGTAAAGGACAATCTAAGAATAGAAAGAAAGAAAGAAAGAAAAGAAAGAAAGAAAGAAAGAAAAAAAAGAAAGAAAAAAGAATGGATCCACCAAGTGTTTGAAGGAAAAATCTAAGAATAGAAAAAGAAAGAAAGAAAGAAAGAATGGATCCAATGAAAGAAACAAATCTAAGAAAGAATAGAAAAGAAAAAAAAGAAAGAAAAGAATGGATCACCAAGTGTTTGAAGGACAAATCTAAGAATGAAAAAGAAAGAAAGAAAGAATGGATCACCAAGTGTTTGAAGGACAAATCTAAGAATAGAAAGAAAGAAAGAAGGATGGAAACCAATGTTGGAAGGAAAAAAAGAATAGAAAAAAAGAATAGAAAGAAGAAAAGAAAAAAAATGGATCAATGGAAGTGTTGGAAGGACAAATCTAAGAATAAAAAGAAAGAAAAAAAAGAAAGAAAAGAAAGAAAGGACAAAAAAAAGGAAAAATGTTGGAAGGAAAAAGAAAAATGGAAAAAAAAAAAACAAAGAAAAGAAAAAAGGAAATATAAAAAGAAAGGACAAAGAAAAGAAAGAAAAAAAAGAAAAAAAAAACAAAAAGAATGGAAAAAAGAAAAAAAAAGAAAAAAAGAAAAGAAAGAAAGAAAAAAAAAAAAAAAAAGAAAAAAGAAAGAAAAGAAAAAAAGAAAGAAAGAAAGAAAAAAAAAAAGAAAAAAGAAAGAAAAAAAAAGAAAGAAAAGAAAAAAAGAATAAAAAAAAGAAAAGAAGAAAGAAAGAAAGAATCAAAAGAAAAAGGAAAAAAGAAAAAAAGAAAAAAGAAAAAAAAAAAAAGAAAGAATGGATCAGAAAGTTGGAAGGACAAATCTAAGAAAGAAAAAGAAAAGAAAAGAAAGAAAAAAGAAAAAAAAAAAGAACAAAGAAAAGAAAAAGAAAGAAAGAAAGAAAAAATGGATCAAAAAAAAGAAAAGAAAATCTAAGAAAAAAAAAAAAAAAGAAAGAAAAGAAAAAAAAGAAAAAAAGAAAGAAAGAAAAAAGAAAGAAAAAAAGAAAAAAGAAAGAAAGAAAGAAAAAAGTGTTGGAAGGAAAAAGAAGAAAGAAAGAAAAAAGAAAGAAAGAAAAGAAATGGATTTTGAAGGAAAAAAAAGAAAAAAAAAAAAAGAAAAAAGAAAAAGAATGGAAAGGAAAGGAAAAAAAAAAAAGAAAAAAAAAAAAGAAAAAAAGAAATTTTGAAAAAAAAAAAAAAATAAAGAAAGAAAAAAAAAAAATGGAAAAAAAAAGAATGGAAAGAAAAAAGAAAAAGATCACCTGTTTGAAGGACAAAAAAAAAAAAAAAAAGAAATCAAAAAAAAAAAAAAAAAAAAAATGAAAAAACTGAAAAAAAAGAAAGAAAAGGAAAAAAGAAAAGAAGAAAAGAAAGAAAGAAAGAAAGAAAAAAAAAAAAGAATGGATGGGAAATGTTGGAAGGACAAATCTAAGAATAGAAAGAAAGAAAAAAAAAAGAAAGGGTCTTGATAGAAAGAAGTGTTAGAAGGACAAATATAAGAATAGAAAGAAAGAAAGAAAAAAAATCAAAAAGAAAAGAAAGAAAAGAAAAAAAAAAAAAAAAAAAAAGAAAAAAAGAGAAAAAGAAAGAATGGATCAGATTTTGTTGACAAAACTTTCTAAATCTAAATTTGAAGAAAAAGAAAAAAGAAGAAAAGAAAGAAAAATGTCACCAAGAAGTGTTGGAGGAAAAAAAAAAGAAAGAAAAGAAAAAAGAAATTATCAGAAAGACAAAAAAATATGAAAAAAGATTTGGAAAGAATAAAGAAAGAAAGAAAGAAAAAAAAACAAAATGAAAAAAGGTTGGAAGGACAAAAAGAAACAAAGAAAAAAGAAAACAGTTTTTTTTAAAAAAATGATTTGTTGGAAAAGACAAAAAGAAAAAAAAGAATAAAAAAAAAGAAAAAAAAATGGAAACATCAATGTTGGAAGGACAAAAAAGGAAAGAAAAAAGAAAATTTTTAAAAAAAAAAAAAAAAAAAAAAATCAGAAACTAAAAAAAAGGAAAATTAAAAAAAGAAGAAAGAATTAAAAAAAAGAAAAAGGACAAAAAAAAAAAAGAATCAAAGAAAGAAAAAAAAAAAAAAAAAGAAAATTTCAAGTGTTGGAAGGACAAATGAAAGAAAAAAAAAAAAAAAAAAAAAGGTTCAAAGAACAAAAAAAGAAAAAAAAAAAAAAAAAAAAAGAAAAAAATGGAAAAAAAGAAAAAGGAAAGAAAGAAATGAAAAAAAACCTAAAGAAAAAATTGAAAAAAAAAATTCTCAGGAAACGAATAATAAAAAAAATAGAAAAAGAAAAAAGAAAGAAAAATTTGGAAAATTTGAAAAATCTAAGAAATTAGAAAAATGAAAGAAAAAAATGGATCACCAAATGAATAGAAAATTAAAAGAAATAATGAAATAAAAAAAAAGAATGGAAAAAGTGAAAGGACAAATATAAGAAAGAAGAAATTTTTTTGAAAAAAGAAAAAAGAAAGAAATCAAAAAAGAAAAAAGAAAAGAAATAAATTTGGAAGGAAAAAATTTAAGAAAGAAAAGAAAGAAAGAAAAAATAAAGAAATGGATGACACCAAGTGTTTAATGATTCTAAGAATGGAAATGTTTTACAATTTAATTTTTGGAAAAAAAGAAAAAAAGAAAAAAAAAAAAAAGAACTGAGAAAGAAAAAAAAAAATAAAGAAAAAATTTAAAAGACTCTAAGAAATCAAAATTTGTTGGAAGGAAAATCTATAAAAGAAAGAAGGACAAAAAGAAAAAATAAAAGAAATAATTTGGAAGGACATTGGAAAAAGAAAAAAAAAAGAAAAAAAGAAAAAATTTTCATTGTTTGTTGGAAAAAATAAAAGAAAAAATGGATAAAAAAAAAAGAAAAAAAGAACAAAAAAAATAAAAGGAAAAGAAAGGAAGAAAAAAAAAATGAAAATTAAAAAATCAAAAGAAAAAAAAAAAGAAAAAAAACCTAAAAAATAAAAAAAGAAAAAAAAAGAAAAAAAAAAAAAAAATAAGGTTTGAAGGACAAAAAAAAAAATAGAAAAAAAAGAAAGAAAAATGAAAAAAGAAAAAAAGTGTTTAAGGACAAAAATAAGAATAGAAAGAAAAAAAAAACAAAAAAAAAAAAAAGTTTAAAAAACAAGATTAAAAAAAAAAGGATTCAAATTGAGAAGAACAAAAAAAAAAAAAAAAAGAAGAAAAAAGAAAAAAAGAAAAAAAAGATTGGATAAAAAATTTTGGAAGGAATTAAAAGAATGGAAGGAAAAATCTAAAAAAAAAAAGAAAAAAAAGAAAGAAAGAATGAAAGAATTTGTTGAGTTTTACAAAGGACAAATAAATAAAAAAGAAATAAAAAAGAAAAGTTAAAGAATGGAAAGAAATTTTTGAAAAAAATGAAAATTTGAAGAAAGAAGAAAAAAAAAAGAAAGAAAAAAGAAAGAAATCATTTTTCAAAAAAAAAAAGGACAAATCTAAAAAAAAAGAAAGAAAAAGAAATTTAAAGAAAACCAAATTTAAAGGACAAATCTAAGAAAATGAAAGAAAGAAAGAAAAAAAAGAATGGATCACCAAGTGTTGGAAGGACAAATCTAAGAATAGAAAAAAGAATAAAGAAAGAAAGATTTAAATCAAAATGAAAAAAAAAGAATAGAAAGAAAGAAAAAGAAAGAACCAATGTTGAAAGGACAAATCTAAAATAGAATAAAAGAAAGAAAAAAGAAAAAAAAAAGAAAGAATTCAAAGAAATGGATTAAACCTTTTTGGAAAGGACAAAAATAAGAAAAAAAAAAAAAAAGAAAAAAAAAAAAAATTTTGAAAATAAACCATGAAATCAAAGTTTTTGGAAGGACAAATAAATAGAATAGAAAAGAAAGAAAGAATGAATGGATTCCAAGTGTTGAATGTTGGGACAAAAAAAAGAAAAGAAAGAAAGAAAGAAAAGAAAGAAAATTAATCAAAAGTGTTGGAAGGACAAATCTAAGAATAGAAAAGAAAATAAAAGAAAAAAAAAGAATGGATCAAAATTAAATGGAAAAAAAGTTTATAAAGAAAAAAAAAGAAAAAAAATGATAATTTGAAGATTTGGAAGGAGAAAATAAGAAAAAAAAGAAATTTAAAAAAAAAAATATAATTAAAAAATAGAAAAATGACAAATATTTGATCACCATTTGGAAGGACAAAAAAAGAAAAGAAAGAAAGAAAAAAAAAGAATGAAATAATCAATTGTTGGAAGGACAAATCTAAGAAGAACAAGAAAAAAATGAAAAAGACTAAAGAATGGAGAAAGTTGTTGGAAGGACAAATGTAACCAAAAAAGAAAGAAGAAAAAAAAAAAAGAAAGAAAGAATTTTTTCAATTGTTGGAAGGACAAATCTAAGAAAAAAAAAAAAAGAAAGAAAGAAAAAGAAAGAAAGAATGGATCACCAAGTGTTGGAAGATTGAATAAGAAAAAGAAAGAAAGAAAGAAAAAAAAAAAGAATGTAAATGGTTATTTGGAAAAACAAATCAAAAAGAATGAAAAATCAGAAAAATAAAGAAAAGAAAGAAATTGAAAAAAAGAAAAAAGAAAAAAGAAAGAATTTTAAAAAGAATAAGAAAAAAATGAAAAAATAAAAAAAGAAAGAAATAAAGAAAGAAAGAAAGAAAAGAATTATATAATAAATAAAACTAAGAAATATTGATGGCGAGCAAAAAAAAAAAAAAAGAATAGAAAAGCGTTGGAAGAATAAATCTATCTTTAGAAAAAAAAAAAAGAAAAAAAGAATAGAATAAATAAAAGAAAGAAAGAAAAAAAAAAGAAAGAAATAAAGAATGATGAAAAAAAAAAAGAAAGATAGAAAAATAGGTTTAAAAAGTGAAAGAAAGGACAAACAAGAATAGAAAGATAATTAAATTTTTGGAAAAAGAATATTAATAAATAGAAAAAAAGAAAGAAAGAAAGGAAGGAAGGAAAGAAAAAAGAATATTAATAAATGTGAAAAAAAAAAGAAAGAAGAATGAAGAAAAAAAAGAAAAAAAAAAAGAATTTAAAAAAAATCTTGGATAAAAAGAAAAATGAAAAATGTTGGAAGAATTTGTTCTAAGAAAAAAAAGGAAAAAAAAAGAATAATAGGCTTGAAAAAAAAAAAAAAAAGACAGAGATAAAATGAATATAAAAAAATTCAAACTTTATTTAAAATCAAAAAAAACGAAAAGAATGAACGGCGTCCAAATTATGAAAGAAAATAAACAACGTTGTGCTCAAAGAAAGAAAGAAAGAAAGAAAGAATTTTAAGCAAAAATGATCCGGAAAATTGAAATTAAAAAAACCAACGGAATCAAAAAAATGAAGAATAAAAGATTTAAAGATACGATTCGAAAATATATATATTTAAAATAATAAGAAGTTCAAATCCGAAATATCAAATTTTTAAAAGAGATTAAAAATATATATGAAATATATATTTTATTCATATGAAGGATACATTCCTTCCATATTTATAAGAAGACACGAAATAAATAATGTATGTCAAAATAAATCCTCATAGTAATAGGTTGAATTTAATATGTGCAGGTATTTTTTTCAAAACATGAAGCATAAAATTATACTGAAACGTAGAGACATATATATCATATAATTTAACTAGTATTTTGTTGTTTATTCACACTGTCATCAGAATAGTATTAATAGGAAATAATTCCCCTGATTAGTTTCGAAAGAAATCAATCTGTAATAAATATATTTTTGAATCAAAATGAAAACACAACGGTTCAAAAATCTCATTAATATAATATTCCCCTACAATATATTTTTATATCCAAATATATATATATATATATATATATATATATATATATATATATATATATATATATATATATATATATATATAGTGGGGGAAATAAATATTCGTACACTTGAAAAATTGTATTTTTATAAATGTAAAAGCCTTAACTAAAACAAATTTTGATACATTTTATGTGTAAAGATACATTTTATTAAAAAATAGTAATAAACTTAATTAATTCTTATTCTAACAGAAATTAATGCATTTTTTTTTCATTTTAACTGATGAAAAAGTATTCGTACAAAAAACAAAAAAGCATATTAACTTAATTTAATACTTTATGGAATATCCTTTTTATTGAGTTCAACAGCTACCAGTCTATTCCTGTACGTCTCAACTAATGATATGCACACATTGAGTGGTATTTTGTCCCATTCTTCTTGGCATATTGTCTTCAAATTCTTGATATTTGTTGGTGCTCTTTTCCCAATTTGAATTTTCAAATATCGCCATAAATTCTCGATTGGGTTCAAGTCTGGGGACTGACTTGGCCATTGCAAGACATCAACGTTACTTTCAGCTAACCATTTCCTTGTGGATCTAGCTGTATGCTTAAGATCATTATCCAGTTGGAAAACCCAATCAGAGAGGTAGCCGACGTCTCTCAACAGAACGCATTAAATTGTCTTGCAGTATTTTCTGGTAACTTTCGGCAGTCATCTTGCCATCTATTATTGATATTCTGCCAAGACCTTTTGCAGAAAAACAGCCCCAGATCATGATACTGCCGCCACCAAACTTTACAGTTGGCAACGTGTTCTTTGGTAAGAAGGCTTCACCATCCTTCCTCCACACATGAATTTGATAATTATAAGCAAACAACTCTATTTTAGTTTCATCTGTCCATAGTACTTTTTCCCAAAACGAATATTCTTTATCCTTATGCTCTCTAACGAATTTTAGCCTAGCATCGCTGTGTCGTTTCAAGAGGAATGAAGTCTTCCTTGGGATGCGTGATTTCAGACTGTTTTTGTATAGTTCATTACTTATTGTACGCTTGGTTACATTAATCCCTAATGCACGCAGATGTGCTGCAGCTCTTTTGTTGGATCTGGCGTCCCAATATCCTTGCTGATATTAGAGAAATCTTCCTCGGAGCACCTGTTACGAGATTTAAACCTTGCAATGAACGAAGCAACAGTAGTAAAAGGAATATTCAGATTGTTAGAAATCGTTCTGTAACTGTTCCCATCTTTCCAAAGAGACAAAATGTTTTGTTTTTGTGAAATAGTCAATTCTTTAACTTTTAATCATTATTAGAACCTTCTCGTAAGACTAGAAATTGCAGAATGCTCTGATAATGGCTAATAGCGTTAACTATAATTACTTAAAAACTTTACTGGAAGATTCTAGAATACTTTTTTCATAATTAATCGATTATTTTATTCTAATAATTGATTTATACGAATACTTTTTTCACCAGTTTGAATTTAAAAATCGCATTAATTTCTGTTAGAATAAAAATGCATTAATTTTTTTATGTTAGAATATGTGCCGAGATTTGTTTTATTTAAGGCTTTTACATTCATAAAAATACAATTTTTATATATAAGGGTGTTACATAACTTGGACCGATTTTAAACGTAATTCATATTTAAAATCGGTCCAATTTATTGGAACACCCTTTATATACAGGTAAGATGAGAACGAATAGAGTACAATTCCGACGGTCATATATTTAATTTAAAAAAGTACTCAATGCAAAGTAGAGCAATATTATTTATTTTAGGATATTAAAACAACATGTAAAAATCGCTACACAATTGCATCCGCGTTTCAACGCATAGCAATGCGTTTCCTCATGCGATTGTAAATTACTCTCGTAATTTCACTTGCCGGAGGAGACGCATTGGAAAATCCTAATGAATATATATATATATATGCTGATAGAGCACGTCATATCAATTGACTGTTTCGATATAGAAATACAGGTTTGGACAACGCATATTTTCTGGTAGACATAATTAATAGTGTTTAAAAAAAAACAGCATTTACTTAAATAAATTGTATCTATTAAAATACCGTATAAATAGAAAATAAATTAAATAACTGTCGGACAATTCATTTCATAATATATATATATATATATATATATATATATATATATATATATATATAAAAGTGAACATAGAAGTCAACACTTAGAGGCAACAGTCTATTTTATGCTACATGCAATCAAAATATATATATATATATATATATATATATATTATGTTACATATTATATATATATATATATATATATATATATGGGACAAATTAGAAAAAAGGTTTGTGTGTGTGTTTAATCCGTTCTGATTTCTTTCAAGTGGGTTTTGTTGATGTTCTATATATATAAGTCACGCGACATATATATATATATATATATATATATATATATATATATATATATATATATATAAGCATCTATTACAATATTGTCTGCCAATAACAATGCTGTTATAAATATTAGTGCATGGTAGGCATGACATTTACGCATAATCTTTTGGCCTCACCTGGTTTCGTTGGCCATTTATATCGGGTTATTTGGAAACTGTTCAAGAGAAGAGGAATAAATTTATAGGCAACTTAATTTTGGCACGTTTAAACTGGACAGATGGAACGAGGAGAGGGAAAAATGGCACAAGTAAAAATTCGATAGATACGAAAAACCTGGAATTAAAATGAGGTTTTTGATGTAAAAGAAGAAAGAAAAAATCAATAAATTCGTATGAAGTTAGGGACATAAAAAATTCCTTAAATGAATTCGACTGAAAAGACCAGCATGGAGATAGTTGGTGAATGAAAGGGTTGCAAAAAAAAAAAAAAAAAAAACTCCCTTTTTTTTGCGACCCTCTCCGCTAGGGTCAGGTAACCAAAGTAAAAACAGACAGGAACAATAACAACTTGTTTCGATGGCGGCCAAAAAAAAAAAGTTTTAAGTATGAGGTGAAGGGATTTTTATAACATACCTCTGCCCTCAGTTCTTCCGCCAAGTCAGAGGAGAATGAGGCGTTTGCGCCTTAGGCCTCCCCGGTCGACCTCGCCGCTCCATTCACGTAAATCTATTCTTCATTATTTTCGACACAATTAAATGTAGATGTATATATGTATATACTTAATTTAAGTTAATATCAGAATTTTGAAATCATGCCACATTTTATTTTCACTTTCAACTGAATGTATGGATTTGTTATGTATTTTACCCTGAGCTTTAGGATTGTTTAATTTTACAAACACGGTCAGCACATTGTGGCCGTGTTCATAGTTAATGTTATTGAGCGTTGACTTTTTGTTTTTATTAATAATGATCCCATTACTTTTAGCCTTTTTTTACATGTGGATGTTATATTTCTATTATCAATGAGTAGGTTGCATATGGACTTTTGAAGGACTCCGTTTGTATTTAAATGAGACCTAATTGATCTATGGTCAGAGAGACGTAAGTGAATTTTCTTGTTAGAATGCTGTAGTAGAAGGTTTTCCATAAGTCACGCGACAATTGGTAGAAAACGTACACTTGTGAAATAGCAACCAGAAAAAAAAATTGCATGACATCATCATCTTTAATTCGATCAATAAAATTTCTTAATAACATATTGTCACATGCAGAAACATGATACAATTTAGTAAATAAATATAAAATTTACAAGGTTGTTAATGGTAATACGACTTATGGAACACGCTTTACATCCAATATACTTGTTCATGAATTTGGTTAGGTAGAAAAAAAAGTCTTTTATTCATGTTAAAATCCACACGAACACACACACACACACACACACACATATATATATATATATATATATATATATATATATATATATATTATAAATTAATTGATTTAAATATGTTTTTCCGCTACAGTTTTATAACCATGTTTCAAAAATACATTTATTTAAATACATATATATATATATATATATATATATATATATATATATATATATATATATATATATATTCTTTGGGGAAATAAATATTCGTAACATAAATTTTTTTTAATTTATTGTATTTCTAACTAATGAATAAACATACTTTTCATATTATTAGCTGTAAACAGATGCATAATAACTAAATATGCATAGAAAATTAAAAGAAATTGTTCACAATAATATTTAGTTGTCCATAGTGCAATTTCACTTCGGGGTGGTTGTTAGAACTGAAAAGTAGAATTTTTACAATAATCTATGCTGTATTAAAATATTAAAAATCTAAAAAAAACATCTCTAAAACTAGCAGAAAATGAAATCAAGCGATGTAAATTTTAGCGTCCCTTTTATTCTACCGGGTATTTTGATTGTAAAAGTTAAATAAAAACTAAGGATATGTAAAGTAAGGATTATATATATAAAGGAATATTATACAAAGATTATAATTTGTTATATAAATTAATTTAATATATGAATCTTGTCAAGAAGATTAACGGACAAACTCACAGTAAAGTTTACTATTCTAGTTTGATACACTAGAAATAAATTCCCATTTATTCATTTTTAATGGGTGAAAAAATTATTTGTACAATAGAAAAATAAATGCATAATCTTCATTTAATACTTTGGAGAATAACCATTATTCACTTCTACCGCAACCACGTCTTGTAGTTTTCACTTAATGATTGGCAAATTTTAGTTGGTATTCTGTTCCATTCTTCTTCGTATATGATCTTCAGATCCGGGATGTTTGTTAGAATTGACGATTGGATTTGAATTTTTAAATAATGCGCAGATTCTTCATTGGGTTTAAATCTAAGGACTGATAATTTCGTGATATTTACATTATTTTCAGCGAGCCATTTCTCCGTAGATTTTGCAGTGTTCTTAGGATCATTATCTTTTTGGAAGATCCAAACAGGAGAAAGTTTAAGATTTTCAACCGAAATCATTAAATTTGCTTTCCAAATATTTTGATATGCTGATATTCTACCATCTATTACTGATAAGTTGCCAGTACCTTTTGCAGAAAAAACATCTCCAAACCATGAATTTCATTGTTGGAACTATACTCCTTTGTTTGAAGGCATCGCCATCTTTCCCTCATACATGATTTCTAGAATTACGTTCAAACAACTCAAATTTGGTTTCGTCTGTTCATGATACTATTTCCTAATACGAGTTTTCATTATCCTTTTCTTCACGAAGGAATTTCAACCTGGCATCTCTGTGTCTTTTCAATAGCAGTGGAGTTTCCCGGGATGTTTGTTAGAGTTGACGATTGGATTTGAATTTTCAAATAATGCCGCAGATTCTTCATTGGGTTTAAATCTAAGGACTGATAATTTCGTGATATTTACATTATTTTCAGCAAGCCATTTCTCCGTAGATTTTGCAGTGTTCTTAGGATCATTATCTTTTTGGAAGATCCAAATAGGAGAAAGTTCAAGATTTTCAAACCGAAATCATTAAATTTGCTTTCCAAATATTTTGATATGCTGATATTCTACCATCTATTACTGATAAATTGCCAGTACCATTTGCAGAAAAAAAACATCTCCAAACCATGATGCTGCTAGCAGCAAATTTCATTGTTGGAACTAAACTCTTTCGTTTGAAGGCATCGCCATCTTTCCCTCATACATGATTTCAAGAATTACGTTCAAACAACTCAAATTTGGTTTCGTCTGTTCATGATACTATTTCCTAATACGATTTTTCATTATCCTTTTCTTCACGAAGGAATTTCAACCTGGCATCTCTGTGTCTTTTCAATAGCAGTGGAGTTTCCCGAGGGGGAACGTGACTTTAGATTTTTTCTAAGAATTTCATTGCTTATTGTCCTTTTAGTGACAGATTCTTGACGAGTAGCCATTGGATTTTTTTTAATCTGACGCATTAATTTCCTCGGAGAACTTAAAGAAATCTGCCATGGCGCACTTGTTCTTCTTTGGTTTTCAGACGTTTTGAATTTGTTATACCTTCCAATGAATAAACTAATGGTAGTAAATAGAATATTCAGGTTGTCTGATATTTGTTTGTAAGATTTACCCACCTTCCAGAGTTTAACATTCAGTTCATTTTGCGAATTTGTCAGTTTTTTACCTCTTGCGATGATGATAACCTTCTTGCACGAATATCAATTATAGGATGGTGTTTGTATTTTTTAGGCTACAAAATAACTACTGATAACATTATTAGAATATTCTAGAATATTCCACTTGAGTAATCTAGAGTACTAAAGCAATTTAGAAGTTTTAAAATCTGAAATTTGGATTGTACGAATACTTTTTTTACTCATTAAAATGGATAAATGGGATTTATTTCTGTTAAATCGGCCATTTAGTTACGCCGTTTCCGCCGGTAGTGAGATCACCTTAGATCTTTACAATTTTTTTTCGGTCCATTGCGCCTTTTTTACGCAAGATCAGCTACCGGACATTCACCTGTTGAATATGTTGATTCTCTATCTCAATTCTGGTTGACCACTTTTACTTAAGCCAGAAAAATATGCTTCGAAACCTAATTTTGAGAATCATGCTTTCACTGTTTAAAATGCCCGCCAAATTTGATTTGTTTTTAAATCTATCATACAAAAAGGATATATTTGGCATATATAGTAGCGTTGCTTTTTGATTTTCCTGATTTATTGAGGCTTGTATTTATTTAATCATTTCACCCTCAAGCAAGGCAATAAAGCCACTAAGACACAAGAAAAACTACTAAGGAGATAGGACTATAAAAGAACAAGAATCAAGGAGTCAGAAGATAACGATTGGCATTGCATATAAATTTTTGAAAATCAAAGTTGACCCAAAAGTAAGAAGCCGGGAGCGATGGCCACGAGAGAGAAATCCGAGAAGAAATTGTTAAACGGTTACGTCTAGTCATTTCAACTATTAAATGATCTTAACTTCCGTAATCAAACCAGAAGTGGTGTTTCAGCGAGATATGCCCTTAAAACGGCATTTGCTTGAGTTTAAATTCCTCATTATATAGTTTGTCTTCATTTCACACAAATGCTGTTGGAAAAAGTAAAATGAATACATCGCTTCTCCATCTAGAGTTGGTTAATGTTGAAACTTGACTAATGCATGCAATAATAATGCAACACAAAAGGTACTTAGAACAAAATGTATTGAAACAAGAAAGTGTACACAATATTTACATATAGTCTTTTGTCTATTCCTGGTAAGACCGTTCCTGGAGAATGTGTTGACTGAGTCGCAGTCGGGCAGTCTCTGGTTGAATCTCTTGATTCCCCACTCTCTTCCCGGTACCAACCATATTTATATGGTCGGTACTCCACTATGCAAATTAGGTGGATCCTACCACAACAGTTAAGATGTCGTAGCAGACAGGACAGTCTAGATTGAACTATTAATCAGTCTAAGGGCATAAAAACTACGATTTCAAAACCGTAGAAAATTCAACAGGAGAATCATTTCACTATATTTCCAAGGAATAGTTATATTACATTTATATGTCTACCATTCGTCCATACATTGAATATTGCTAGCCCACCTGATCTGGTGTCTCTGCTATGCATTTAGAGATTCTTAATATAATACAAAAGCAGACTCTGCAATCTTAATGGTCCTGACCTGATATCTTGGCTACAGTCGCTTCCCAACCTTCATAGCTTTCTTGTCCCTTTTCTATAAATATTTTCATGGTATTTGTTCTAACGAGTTTTCTTATTTGCTACCTAGACTTTGCTTATGTAAGCGCCGTACTAGA